AGTTTTGTATCAGCTTTTATATCTAAATATTTTCTAATGAAAATATTACATTATTTATAATACATTATAATATTACATATTATTCTAATGAAAATATTACCAAAAAAAATCCCCACCCACAATGTAAGCAGGAAAAGGAAACCTTTTATTAATCACATTAAAACAGTGGACTGTAGTGGGAAGAGTTCTGAGGAAAAATACCAAAAAAAGAACACTAAGCCGCTGTGTTTCATATGTTGCCTTATTTTTCACAGGCCCATGTTCCATACGTCAAGTTCTCTCAGCCAGGTTCCCTCAGGATGGGCCTGTCATAGCCCCATAACAATAAGGGAAGTTTCTGAAGCTATAAAAAAAATTCAACTAGGAAAGGTGCCTGGACCAGATGGATGATCAGGTTCTTATTATAAATGTTTTGTGGATGAACTTTTACAACCTTTACAAAACACAATGAACTCTATCTTACATGGAGGAAAGATGGTAGAGAGTTGGAAAGAGGCCAACATAGTATGAATACCCAAAGAAGGACAAGATTTGACTTTAACAAGAAACTATAGAACGATACCATTACTGAATAATGACTAGATGTTGTTCACAATGATTCAAGCTGATATAATTTTGCAAGAATTTATTCATGAGGATCAATGTGGGTTTTTACCAAAAAGACAGCTAAAAGACAATGTTAGAAACATGTTGAACATTTTGGAATATTTAGAGCAAAATAATGAAAAACAAGCCACATTGATCTTCTTGGATGCAGAGAAGCCCTTTGCCAATTTGAACTGGGCTTTCTTCTTCAATATTTTGGAGGATACGAATTTTGGAGAGAACTTTATCAAATGGGTAAGATCAATTTACACTTCACAGAAAGCACAAATAATTGTTATTGGAGATCTAACAAAACCCTGTGAGATACAAAAAGGGAGAAGACAGGGATGCCCACTGTCTCCCCTCTTGTTTATTTCGGTTCTTGAAATATTGAATAAAGATATAAGAGAAGATGAGAGGATTGTGGAGGTAAAGATTAAAAAAGAAACTTATAAGTTAAGGGCTTTGGCAGATGACTTGGTGTTGGTTCTGGAAGATCCTTTAAAGGGAATTGAAATATTAATGGGAAAACTAAAAGAATTTGGTGCATTACCAGCTTCAAGATTAATAAACAGAAGACAAAGATTTTTTAGAATATTTTTTATTATTAAGAAAAAAACCACGTAGAAGGTGCTTTAACAAAAAAGTGAAAGAAATACAGCAAAGAGAAGAACATGTTAATATGTCGTAACAGTAACGAATTACAATTCTACATATACTTATCTAATGCAAATATTATTCAAGCACGTATATATTTCTAATATATTTCTATGACTATCATGTTTTTGGTGGTGTGAGACACATAGAGACACATAGAGACAAATCACATTTACATACCATGCAAAAGAGACAATAAGAAAACTAAGAAGGAAACAAAAAGACCAGAGCACTCCCCTCCAGCAGCCAACACCCAGATAAGCAGGGATTGACACCAGGCAAACAATCACGCAGAAAACAATACCCTAATCAAGGAACGACCAAGGAGAAAACCACAGCCCCCCAACACTGGCCGGGCAAGCTACTGTATATAAACGGAGCAAACCCCACACTCACTAGCACTGATGATGTTACCTAGCTGGGTAATGAAACGTCTGCAATCAAACAACCAGGCTGAGAGAGCACCAAGGACGGCACAAACAGAAGGCTTTTGGAGTTAGAAGAACATGACCTGAGATATTTGTGGTATGATAAAGTTAAGGTTAATGTGGATTTTAAAGATCACTATATTAGACGTGCCATATTGAGAATATTGAATAGATACAAATCCAGGTTGTGCCTGAAAACACTTTTGTAGATTTCAGTACAAAAGCATTTTATAGATGGGACATAATAGGCAAAACAAATGGCTAAGATATTGCGAGATGCTAGAATTTGATCAAGGGGAATGTAAAATAAAATCAAGAGAAGAACTGATGGCAGAGGGATATAGTTGTTAATGGTTCTCTTATTTACAATTATTAGAAAGATTTAAAGTAAACAAAATAGTTTATGGTTTTGAACATTGGAAGACTGAGTCTGAAATAGAATTGCAGTAGAGTCTCGTTTAACCGACCTTCGCTTATCCGACATTCTGTCTTATCCGACGCCCCTAAAAAAAACACAACAACACGGATAAATCGGCGGCGAGAAAAGTGTGCTGCTTGTTTACTGTTGCCCATCTGAAATAGAATTGCAGTAGAGTCTCGTTTAACCGACCTTCGCTTATCCGACATTCTGTCTTATCCGACGCCCCTAAAAAAAACACAACAACACGGATAAATCGGCGGCGAGAAAAGTGTGCTGCTTGTTTGCGAGTGTGAGTGTACTCTTTCTTGTTGCTCCTGACGGTGCGGCGGCGCCGCAACGCAAAAATCGATTGCAACAGGCGCAGCAGGCGCGCGTGTCTAGCCTATGACTCATGTGTCGGTCATGTCTCGCCTTTCCTAATGGTCGCTCGGTGCAGTTTGTTATTGTATGCGGATCAGGTTGTTGTTTTTTTTTTTTTACCGCACTCAATCGTTACTGTGTGTTATCCGACATTTTTGCTTATCCGACATTCTGCCGGCCCATTTATGTTGGATAAG